CGTGTCTGGGCACCCTGTGCCAGCACCTCAGCACCCGCACAGGGAAGAGCTTCACTTCCCAGCTCAGGCTGAACACACAGAGCGAGTCCAGGTAAACATTTAAAATTTATTCAACTTTTTGGTCAAAAGAATGAACAGTTTGAAGAGCCCCAGCGCGGCCCCGGCAGCACGGCAGGAACAGGGGCAGCTCGAGCGCGGCGGTCCCCAGTAGTGTCACAACCAATGTACAGAGTAAGGTGTGTTTGATACAGACTGTCTGAGACCCTCGGTGGTAGCGGGAGGACAGAGACACGCTGGTGTGTGCAGATCCCACCAGCACCACAGCAGCCCTGGTTTTAAGGAAGCGGAGCACAAACCACGCTGGAGCTGTTGCCTGCGGGGAGCTGGGGTCCCACCTCCGTTTCCAATGTGCAGGCACATTCCCAGTGTAATCTCTACCTACTCGATGCTACTACCACATGCTGCAACGGTGGCAGGAGCCCTCGCCCGGCCTGCCCGAGGGCGAGGAGAAGGTTGATGCATTTTAGGCCTCTTTGGAGAAAACAAAAGTACCTAAGGCTTAAAAACAGGAGGGGAGAGCAGGACCTCGGCAGCCACAGCAACACCCGCCCGTGGCCTCGGTGCCTCCTGCCTTCGGGGTGTCAGAGCCCTGGCGTGCCCCAGCGCTGGGCACAGCCACGAGAGGGGTCAGGGGCTGGGCCTGGAACTGCAACAGGAATACAATATATTATGCCAAATATTTAAAATAAACTCTTATTTTCCTGACAAAGACTAAAAAGGTTAAAAACCGTAATGCACATGAGGTTTGGCTCTAGCTAACGTTGAGATGCATCCAATGGACTCAATTTGTTATCTTCAAAGAAGAAATAGTGTTCCACGTTTGGTTTTCCCTCCTGGTCACTTTCTGTTAAGGCTGTGGACGTCTTTATACTGACCTCTGAGTCTCCCACTTGGTAGAGAGAGCACTTGACAAGGAAACCAGTGCAGCTTGAACTCAACAACAGCTTCCTGGGAACTCTGACCTTGCAATCTGAGATACTACACAAGAAAGTCTGTATTAGTCTGCCAACGATCACTGGTTTGGGGGCAAACCCTGTCAAATCTGCCCCTCAGTTATTCTGCACAATCTCAGGACATGCAATAAAAAAAAAATAAAAGTAAGAGGACTGGATACATACCTTCAGATTTAAAAACACTTTTTATAGCTTGTTATTTTATTAAGTGGTTGACACCAGAAGGTGTGGTTAGAGATACAGGTGCTGAGTAAATAGTCATGGAAACCTGTCTACGAACCCAACTCAAGACCTACCTAAGTGCTCCAAGGTAAAACCACCTAAGCCTTGACAAGGCCAGAGGAGGAATGTTCACAGGCGTTAAGCACAATATATGTTCTGAAAGGCCCAAATATTACAGCAGAGAGAGCGCGCGCGAGAGAAATTACATTGTCATGACAAGTTGTCTTCTTGGGTGTTAGATTTTTGGTCTATCAACTGGAAAGGAAGGCTCAGACTTAATAAATACACTGGGTTTGAGCGCTGGCCTTCACGAGCACTGTCCATCCATTCTGCCTCTGAGGGTTCCTCCTGGAAAGCTGCGGCTGACGCTGCCTACCCCGACAGCAGAACATCCACGACTCCAAACCCGGCCAGATCCTCTCCTGGAGCTAAAGGGAAGTAAGTGCATCAATGTTCTTCACTGGTAGGACAACAAGGCCTTCTCTTTTACAGATAAACAACCGAGCGTAACTATGCGAGACGACGGCTCCGTCCTCGGGGAAGTCATCTCTAGTTAATTTTGTCCTGGAATATATACAAGTTATTGGTGGCAGCTACAGCAATGATGTTCTCCATGGGATGCCAGGCTGTGTGAAGGATCTTCTTGTTGAAGTCCAGACTGTCAACACTTATCTCATCCTTCTTCCTCTTGCCCCCCGTGCAGACCTTGCGTGGCTTCAGCAGGGCGCGGGGCTTGCTGCTCTCGCGGGAGGCCTCCAGCGTGACGTCCCGGCGCGTGTTGCGGTCGAACATCCGGAAGAAGTTGTTGTAGGACCCGGTCATGATGGCGCTGTTCAGAGGCGGGGGAAGCACAG